AACAAAGAGGGTTGTGACGAACCTTCTGCTCCGATAGGCCCGAACGCATTGTCTGATAGGTCTAATTCAACAATATTACAATTAGCCTGCATCATAGCAGAACACATAGATTTCTGAAATCTGTATTATCTCAGACAAGATGAACCACGTTACCAAAATAGGGGGAATCTCCGTCTTCAGACGTCCGGTGAACATGTCACTCCACAAGCATCTCTNACTCTCGTCACAAGTACCTTCATCATCGCTGAAGAAAAATCTCGTATGAACACAAATAGGCGGGAACTACCTTTCAGATCCCAGAGTGATGCCTGTTCCGAGAACTTCTTGGTGCAAGTCGATGAAAGCAGAACCAAAGCAATTATTCGACAACGACAAGGTGCTAAAAAGGATGTGATAGAATCTTCAGTACAAGACCTACCAATCCGCTTTGAAAGCTTTCCGCCACATAGCTATTATGAGTTCAGCTTCGCTGGGCCCCAATTCACTTCCAGAGAGGTCAACAGCCTAATAATGCGCTTTAACTTATCATTATTTCAAAACACACCTTTATATTAACGTGATTGCCTCCAGAGATCTTTTGAAGAACGCTCACAGCACCTTTTCTACATAAGCAATCTCCCAAATCGAGAACCTCTAGCTTGGTCAGGTTACCCAAAACCTGCAAATTTTATACTGCAATCGTTGCCCTTCCCTATTACCTCAGCAACAGCTCTTGATCCGACATCAGTGCATGTATTGTCGTTGAAGTTGATGACCCGAAGTTTGGGATTGTATTTGAGAGCATCAGCGAGTGCAACTATTCCGTCAGATCGAATACCATTCTGGTTGATGATAATCTCTTCAAGGGTTCCGATTTTCTGAAACAGTATTCGATCAACATCCGATAATAAGAACTAACCTTGAAAGCTTTGGAGAGAGCACGAGCACCAGGGTCTTCTAGCCTGTTTCGTCCAGCGACGAATGTTTTCAGTTGGAACTTCCTNGAATGTTTTCAGTTGGAACTTCCTGCCCCTTCTCAATGCGTTATCATAACAGGCTTCTAAGCAACTGGCAACAATCTGAACGAGAGGATAAAATTAATACCTAATATGTCACATACCTTTCCTCCAGCACCAAGTCCGTTGTTATTCAATTTCAGAACTTCCAAAGTGAAAGCAGATTCTGAGACGAGGAAGTCAGAGATTCCTGAATGATAATTTGTTCAAACAAAGAGGGTTGTGACGAACCTTCTGCTCCGATAGGCCCGAACGCATTGTCTGATA